TGCCGCCTCTTGATCATAAAGGTTAAATAACAAGGAAATAAAAACTCATGGCATCATCATTTCTTATTTGTAGATATCTGTAACTCAACTCTACGTATACATAATATAGATTAAATTCCACATTGTTTAAATCCCTTATTGTGGACAGATTGCAGCACATGTTGGTGTTTTGCTGCCACCTGCTGATCAAAACAAAACAGACTCGTTCATAGAGAAGCATGACACGACAAAAACTCCCCGAGGAAACTTAAAATTATCAGATCTCTTTAGCTCGCAAGGTTTTTTAGGAATGGAAGGAGCTTTGCAACACATGTGTTTTCTCACCCAGGAAGGTGGCGATGTAGTAATAGATCTCGTCTCGGTCCGCCGTGTTGTAGAACTTCAGGTAGATGTCGGAGCAGAAATCGTTCTCGGTGCAGAAAACCTCCAGACCCTGAGCGAGGAAAACACACGAGCACACGTGTAAATTAAACCGCTGTGACAGTTAATCTCATAAAGCAAGCGAGTGGAAGTGCAGCGGCCTCACCAGGGGTCTCAGACCGTGCCGTCTTTTGTAGATCCTCCTGACTCTGTGCAGCTTGATTTGAATCACATGTTCCTGAAACGACACGTAAACTGATTAAAAAATAACCCGTTTGTGACGAGGCTGCAGAGAGCGAGTGGATGAAGCGCAGGTATCGCGGCCGCTTCGTCGGCTCACCGGGTATCCGTTGAGAGGCTGGAAGTAGAGGTTCTCGTCCGTGATGCAGACGTGGCCCGGGTTGGACACCAGAGGCATGACCATCTCCACCGCACACTCCATGTGAGGCTTCTCCGCGACGCTCTGAAAGCTTTACATCACAGAAATGACTCGTACTACTTTGCTGGTTATTATGTTGAATTAGAGCAAATCAAATGACCACTAAAGACAAAGTAAGTAAAAAGCACTTCTGTGTCTGTTTACGTACCAGTTTTTGTCGAACGATGACCTCGCTAGTCGAGACTGCAGATTGGCAGCAATCTAGAAACAACCAAAGAATGGAGGGTTAGATGATGCTTACAGTTACAAAATAATTATGGATTAAAGGAAGAAAGCTGCAAACGGATTTTCTTCGTTCCATCATCCTTGAGGTTTTGCAGTAACGACTGACTCACCATCGCAGTCTGGTCTCCGAGCTTTTCCAGGCAGGACGCTCTGTGGAGCTGCAAGGTTTGAACAACACATAATCAGCACTGAAACAAATCCCTGATCCAAAGTCTGTTCAGAAGCAACACGGACTGATTATTTACTGACTAAACTCCTTCACAGTACCAGCTGGTGTAAATATAGATCATTATTACTGTGAAACAGCCACAAACCTGCAGTAACGTCTGAACGACATCTTCAGTTTTGTTCCAGACTTCCAGCTCGAAGGTAATTTTCTTTGCTCCCTGCAGAAGAGACGAGACGAGTTTAGTCACGAACAGAAGAGTTTAAAAAAAGAACAAATCTTTACAAATGTATTAAACTTGTTCCTGAACAGTTTAGTTAAAAATCAGACTTTCCTGCAGATCTGTTCCTAAAGTTTACATCTACAGCTTCATGGCTGTGTTTGGGACGTAGCCACAGGGACATTTTTGGTTTAACCTCAAACGCATGAACAGATTTGTACAGAACTGCTGAGGTGCAGCCGACTCACCCGGTCGTTCCTGTACGGTGCGATCACGTTGCTTTCTTTGATGTAAATGATCTGAAATCAAAGTGGAAATGAAATTGGAAAACATGTCAATACAAACAGGTCAGTGCAACAACTACAGACGATAAATCTGAGCAATCAAAGACAAGTGAGAACGATGAACTACTACTAGTGGTTTAAGTGTAACGAGCCACGATGCCATTAGTTCAGTCCTGACTGTGATGATAACTCACCTGTCCACATGAAACAGAGACGGCTGACGGCCGAGGCCTGAGTGAGGAAAAAAAAATAAACGCACATCAGAGGAGTTAAAATATGGAAACATCCATTTAAAATATATTCAACATAAGGACAACAAAACAACAAAACTAAATAGAAAATAAGCAAAACTTAGCTTTGCTCCAAACCAAACCGTTTCCAAAACGTTGGACCACATTTGCGTTCCACTTTCAAGCAACCAAACCAGTTTGACAAAAACAAAACTCGAGCAGCTGAACTGAACATGTGACACCAGACTAAAGGGTTCTCACTCGTTAAAAGGGTTGTTCTCCTTCTCCACAAACTCAATCTTCTTGCAGTCTTTCAGGGGAATCTGGAGACACAGCGAGGAAGGATTTCGATTTGCAAACACACAGTGAGAACAATCCAGCATCAAGTAGAGTCGAGAGCTTCTACTGGCTTCAACACCAACACAGTGAATCTGACCATGTCGGCCATTTCTCCATTTTACCCAACCTGCAGATACGATGCTAGTTCCACAATCCAAAGATAACATGGTCTTTATGATTCCAATGTGGGAGTTTCATGTTAAAAATTGCAGGTTGGACATTTAGCTGGAAGGTTTATGGTTAGTAGGACTCAGCCAGAGGCCACATGTTCCACCAAATCGTTTAAAATTTGACAGAAACGCTCGACTCGAGGATGAACCGATTAGATCTCAAATGTCAAAATCAGTGTGATCTCATAATCTTCTACAACAACACGTCTAGTCACCACTCACTACCATAATTCAGGAACAGAAGCAGAGACTGGGACTATATTTGGTCAGATGCTGAACCACCTACTAGCTTCCTTCACAGTCTTCACTATATTAATCATTTGTTGGTTAAATACAAACTGCAAGGCTTATCTAACTTCATGATGATTAAAAGAAAGGTTTTTTCTAATGAAGTTTAGAGGCATTAAAACAAACCTTCAGTATCGGCTCTGCGAGGTCCTCTGGATCAAATATGATCGATCGGGAACAAACCTTGAATGAGCCTCGGATTTTTCTGGAAGGATAAAAGGTGACATCAGCTCGTTAGTCCTGCTAACTGCTAGCCTCGCTGGACGAGTAGAACTGTAAAGACTACAGTCACAAATAATACAGCTACAGACTTAGACGAGGTGTGTCAGAAAGACTCCAGGATGGTGTCACAAAAGATATATTTCAAACTACAAACTAGGAGTTTTAACTTTCAGACCATCAACCAGCACGTCTACAAAGATCCTGCAGCATTTGTTTCATTCAGAAGAGGCAGAGTTGTGTCAGGACCAGTGGAGGCTGCTTCACCATGACAACCTGCTCACAGCGCCCTGAGCATCCCACAGGTCCTGGCTGAGAAGAACATCTCCGAGCTGGAGCAACCTCCCTACTCACCCCACCTGGCTCCGTGGGGTTGGTTCCTCTTCCTCGAGCTCAAGGGGGTCATCAAGGAGACCCGTTTAGAAGACGTGGACGACATCAAGATGGCTGTGAGGACGGAGCTGAGTAGGCTGGGGAAGTGTGTTAGACTCCAGGAGGATTACTTGGAAGGAGAAAACTGGTGGTTTGTAGTTTGAAGTCTATCTTTTGTGACACCAGTCCTGGAACTTTTCTGACACACCTCATATGACAGACTTCCAGGACTTTCAACTCTGTCTTTTACATGTTTTTCTATAAAGTCAGAATGAATTTAATTATTACGACCAATCAACCAATAAATGTTTCTGGGTGCCAACTAATCCAGCATTGTAGGAAAACACAGTGTGCTGACTGGTAGAGACACAAACGTAACATTTAAACTATTTACATGTGTTGGATTATATTCTGTATTATTGTTAGAGAACACAGTGTTTCTTGTATGCTATAAATATTAATTTAACAACTATTGGATTATAAAGAGAAAGAGGTCTCTTGTGATATACGTATGAATAATTTAGCCATTTTCTCAGCTGGACGCATTCACAAGACAAAGTACACAACGCTTGGAGCTGTGCAAACACGAGGACGAATCAGACGGGCTGCGTAAATCTGTCTCTGCTCCTCACTGGGAACGCTTCACTGGGACGCAGCAATAAAACGAAACCGTCTGAATAAAGGGTTTTGCTCTGAACGGGATGAGACGATGTTTGAACAGCTGTTTCTTTACAAGCTATCTGTCATTAACTCTAAAGAAACTCGACGCGCTATAAACATGATAAACACTATAAAACGCATATGTAACGGTTTAGGATGTAATATTTTGGTTGTCACACATCGATTGTGAGCGTTTTCTAGTGTTTCTGCAAGATGATGACATGGATCAGGATGGAGTGATTGATGGCATTGGTAACAGACAGATGTGGACTCACCTCTCCTTTTTAGAACCGCCCGACACATGGTAGGCCGTGTGCTGTTCAAAATAATACTCTTCCAAATCCAGCAGCAAGAGAGAAAACCTGGAGAAGAACGACAAAGCAGCTCTGTGAGAAGAAAAACAGCAGCTGGTGTCAAAAAGCGGACATTTAAATCAAAAACGAATGGTTTTAATATAAAAACTAAAACATAAAAAAACAAACAAAGATCTGTATGTAAGAGTCCGACTGCAACTCAGCTGCAGCTGCAGGAAGTCTGTTAAATTCAAAGTGATGTGATTAGCTCCTGGTGCATTATGGGTGATGTAGGGGCCAGTTTGGAAAACAACACAGAGAGAAGATGGTATGAGTGTTTCTGCTGCGTTGGTTGTGAACAGATTTAAACTGTGTGGAGCTCTCAGTCAAAGGTGTGTTTACATCAGTGGTGTTGAAACATGAAGCAGACCTTTATTTATAATGATCAGCTGAAAAACACACAAGCTGCTGTTCTTTAACACAAACTCTCCGATCACGAGGGAATTTTAGTAAAAGTTATGCTGCTAAAAAACTGAAGGACTGCAACTTTAAATGAACATAACGTGTCCCTTCTGCTGGATCTTGTTTACCTTCCATGACATGTTTTAATCACCTCAAGCTAACGAGAGCCAGAACTCATCCTGAACATTCAGCGTCTCTCCGAAACTCAGATAAAAGCACATCAAGAGTAAATATGAGCTTTCTGCTTTTTCTTCTCCACCCTCCCATGAAGCTTTAACTGGTGAAGAAGAGATAGCCGCTGGATGCACAATCGCCTCCCAACTCAGCCACTAAAGATTAGAACTTTGTGTCTCGGCGGCCATTTATCTTTCTCCTGCAGTCACTCAGTTTTTACCTATTCTAGGAAGACTTGTGCCACGATCCTTGGATGGATTAAACTTTACCACAAGTGATATTCAGTGAAATGACCTTCAATAAGCTTTTCACAGAGTTGCTTGAAGCCACAGAGTCACATCCAGGGTTCGTACTGATTCACCAGAGACTGGATCCTTCAGGTACCGGTGCACTTTTTTATATTTTGAATTACTTTACATTAATTTGTATAAATCTGTGATCACTTTGACATGAAAGAGTCTGTATTTAATAAGAGTTATTAGAGGGAAAAACTACCGGGGAGCTTTTTTGTTTGTTTGTTTACAGGCGCTGTAGTTGTGACGACGATATTAATCCCCTATTGATCCCCATCTACTATTGCCTTTTCCTTTCACCCACTGCACCACACATCACTTCCAGACATTCACCGTGTTTCACGCGTGTTTAGATAAACACCAGCCTCTTCCCAGGTGCAACACTGAGGCAGTGCTGATAAGAAGTAGTTTGAGTAACAACAACTGGAGTGATAATATGTTGGAATTATCGTGTTCTTTAAGACACTACATAACTTGAGGCATCTTTTATCAGTGCTACATACATGCCTTAAAATCATGACAGAAATAAATGAAGCCGATTTAAAACTACAATCAACACATCGCTTCGGATAATGTCGTCACTCATGACTGAACTGCTCAGCTAGTTAATCATGAGAAGTTAATCCTCATGTAGATCGTGCTGGTCCAGGACATCGGCTAGTTTTCACTCTCAAACTCGCCGCCATCTTGAAGCCCGCTTATTGGAACATCCTGGATACAGTCATAATTCCATCCTGAACCGACAGTATGATGACAAACAGGCAGCACTATGTCTCACAAACTGCCCTATTTTCTCCTGCACAATATTTCCAGACTTCATTCTTTTGCACTCAAGTCCTGGTCACATCTTGCATCGATCACTGCAGCTCCACTCTCTTTCCCAATAAATGCACTCCAGATTATCACCATCTGCATCACGCGTCCTTTTTAAGCTCCTTCGGCTCCCGGTGCAGATACAAGATCCAACCGCTCACCTTCAGCGGCGGGTGAGTGCATCAGATTTGGTGCAGAGCTTATCAGTGGAAATCAGAGTTTGTGTGACAGCTCAGACAATGGAAAGGACGGTTGATTATATCAGTCTCTGTGGACGGCGGTCAAGGAGGGAATAAAGCCGCTGTGTGCTGTTCAACACAAAACTGCAAAATTAAACAAGACACAAAAAACAACCTAGTGAATACTCAGAGTGGATTTGTTTTGTTTGTTTTGGTCAGTGACCCAGTATGATAGGACCACCACAGTGAATGCATGGCCCTGACAGTGAAGTGGAAAAGGTAGCTGACATTTACAGAGGGCGCCGTGGACGTCTGTGGAAACACCTGAACACTGGCTGACAAGATGACTTCCAGTCTGCAGAAGCTCTGTTGGCAGAGGAAGAATAATCTGGCATAAAGGGACCTGGCTAACTTGAATCCAACAGAAGATTTGGGGTTTGTACAAAAATAAAGAAAGACAGAGCAACAAAACTCCTTCAGCAAAGAGCAGATTGAAAACCTCTCTGAAGAACGGCAGGTGTGAGGGGTCCTTGGGTGTTTAGAAAGGCACCAATAAAGAAAAAGTATTAGATCTGTTGGTTCAGTCACGATAAAGTGATCCACGCAGCGAGGTGGACAGATTTAAAAAAAACACTGGTGTGGAAATACAGGAGAGAAACCTCTGGATGCTGTTGGTGATCCTGGAGCATGCCTCTGATTTTCACCACCACACCGTTAGATCTACTTCACACAAGCTGGACTGCAGCTTAATCATCACTTCACAGCTGATGCAGAAATATTTAATAGTGCAGAGCTGAGCAACTCTGGAAACCCAATACCTCACTTTGGATTAGCTGGAAAATCATTGGAAAGCTTTTAAGGCATCACTCTGCTGGTGGATTTAGAGCAACTCTCTGAGGACTTATTCAGCAGGATGGTGCTCCTCTCATTAGTCCTGGAGCAGCTACATGGTGGGAATAAACCAGCCAGCTGATGGACATGATGTCAGGGCTGTTGTTTAATATCACAGGAGGTAACTTCAGGTTAACTTGGTTTAAAGAGTGTTGCTTTGTCCATAAAATATAAAAACCCCCAGACTAGAGCACTCCTCACACCTCCAGTAACAATAAGAAGAGCATCAGTGGAGCTCATTAGCCCGGAGCTCAGTCTGACGCCGCAGCTGGCGGTGATCCAGAGCCCAGAAAAACAACCGCCGCCGCCGCCGCGCAGCTGCCCCTCCGGCCGCCCTACGACCCCCAGCACCGACACCGAGCCCCGGTAACAAAAGCAGGAGGGACACCAACCTCTCTTTGGTTCGCTCTGGCGTCTTTAAGAAGGCCATGACTGCCGCATCCTCTTCAGAAAGTCGACACCGACGCGCAGCAGAGGCTTTCTGAGCTTCTGTAAACACGGAAACTTGACTGACACCACGTGACCCACTTACAGAGCTCGTCCGCCGGCGAAGGAAAACGAAGAGGCGTCACTCCGCCGCTGTTTCTGGAGACCAAGAACCGCACAGGAACTTAGCCTATTAATCCTCAGAGGGAAGTCCAGCTGGTACAGCACCAGGAATATTCAAAAAGGGGGTAAACAGAAGCAAAAAGACAACACAGAGTATTGGGGTATAAAATAAGGGTAAAATAAAGTAAAACAAAATAAGATAAAGGGATATAAAATATTACGGAGCACCGGTAGGGACATGGAGAAAGAAAAAACAGAGATGAAAAAATAGAGGTAAGATCTCGCAAAACTTTCTCGAGAAAGCTTCGTACTTACTGGAGTTAGGGTTATTGAGTTTTATTTTGAATTTGGCCTAAAATATAAAGACATTCAAGCAGTGCTTAGCAAGAGGCACAGTTTTCACAAAACGTTCAATAAGATTGATGTGACTTCTACCTCAATTTGGATTTAATTCTAAATGAACTGATGCCAACAACTGCTCTTCGATTTAGACTTAGATCAACTTTACTGATCCACAAGGGAAATTGTTTGATCACAGTAGGAACACAGCATAAATAATTTTATAAGAATGCACAAAGAAATAAATAAAAAAGTTTTTTTAAAAAAAACAAACAAACAAAAAAAAGCAAGCAGGGAAAAAAAAATACAATACAAAGATTTGCACATGTACAATTTACAATTTTATTTTTTCTTCTCCCTATGCCAAATAAAGAAAGACAACAAAATAAAATAAAAAAGATAAATAACTTATACACAATATTAAGTTAATGCAATTACAACCATTACTATGTCAACCTTAACCTCTTAAGACCCGAGGTCTTGTTTGATATGCATTTTTTTATTTCTCTTTGCTATTTGATTAGCTCAAATAGCAAAGAGAAATTAAAAATAAAATAAAAATACATTTGAAAAATAATATAAAAAATATTTTTCAAATAAAAAATATAAAATAAATAAAAATAGATAACAATAATAATAAAATAATACAAATAAAAACAAATTTAAAAAAACAAAACCTAACTACTATGGCAATATAACCCAAAATGTGGGGTCTTAAGAGGTTAACCCATCAAAACAATGCTTGAAGCTTCCACAGTGTTTGCATATCAGTAATTTTGACATTTAAAAATTTTAAAAAAAAATCTTGGACCAGAAATTTACTGAAGTGGTGGGAACAGTTCAGATAAATCATGATCTAGAATTCATTTTATGGGTTGTTTTTTCAGTTTTATCAAACTAGCTCTCCAAAACCCAATACATTAGCTTTACACTGATATAAACTCGAGATCGGTAAATGACTTACCTTCTGACTTAATTACCACATTAGTCACGCTCATAGTAGGAAGCTTTGCAGAAATGATGAAACGCGCCTGCGCAGTGAGCACTATCTTCCTACAGAGACGATCTTGGGGTGAGGACGTCTTGACGTGTCACCGGGGGACTCTGAGGGAAGTTTCCTCTCTTGAAGCGTCTCTACTTTGAAACGCGCCACACGTCCGAGATGCGCTGATAGTTTCTCGACAGGAACCATGTCCCTGCTGCGGTGTGTCTGCGGGTCAACATGCAGTGGAGGAGACACGTCGCCGGACTCGCTTTTAGCCTCGTTTTCGTTGTGTCGTATTTCACGAACAAGGTGAGAGCGCAGTGGACGCAACACTAGTTTGAGTTCATGAAGCAGCGCAGTCCGTCCTGTTTTATGTTCAAACACCCGGACTGAAAGACAGGAAGCCTTCACGACTACTCCTGTGTACAGACCGTGACTTATCCGCTTTGAAAATTGCGGAAAACAACATTTCACCATCAGTAACAACCACTTAAATGTTTAATTGCTGTTAAAAATCCTCCGTGAACGTGACCCATTAAAGCAGCCACATGAAGCAATGTCCTCACATAACACTTGCAGGAAGTAAACATGAACAAGTTGTAAAGTAGATGCAGAGTATGCCGAATTGACGACTGTATCCCACTAATGATAAATAATATCCTCAACTGTGCTGAGCCACACGAGGGGTTTTGTACAGAGGTGTTGATGACCTGAATTGGTTGATTTTTGAATGGAGTTTGGTGTAAGATGGAGAATCATTTGTTAAGATAAAAGTTATCAGTCACCAAGCTGGTTGCATGTGATGAGTTCATGACGTTGATTGTATATTTTCTTCTTTTGCAGTTTGTCCTGTCGGTGCTGAAGTTCACCTATCCAACATTATTTCAAGGGTAAGTGGCTGAAAATTAACACTTAATTAACAGATCTTGTATATTTTCCTCAAATGAAAAATATTCCTCAACAGTTTAAATATGCATTTTGATTAAAGGTGTTTCTATTTAAGTAGACCTTATTGATGAGGAACAACCTGCACACTTCCAAACAGAAAAACATACTCTAACAGAAGTCAGTACACCCCTGTCCAATAATCACATAAATTACATGCCATTGATTAAAAATTGCATCATCTCAATAATAACCAAATCCAGTTTATTGTCATGTTTCTGTACATACACAGTCGTACAAACAAGATGAGAGCGTTTCTTCAGGATCCATTAACTTAGAGCAATTCAAATAAACAGCTGTTTGCACATCTGGATCAGCTGTTCAGCATTCTGACATCAGTCTGGAGGTTCTTCCTTTAAAGCTCTGGAAACGTTTTCCTGATGGCAGCAGTTCAAACAGTTAATGGAGAGGGTGTGAGGAGTCCCTGACGATGTTCAGGGTTCTGCTCCTGCAGGGGCTCTGGAGAAGTTCTTGGACAGAGGTGAGGGAAACGCTGATGCCCCTCTCAGCTCCTCTAACTATCCTCTGCGGGGCTTTTCTGTCTGACACACTGCAGCTGGAGGACCATGTGGAGATGCAGGATGTCAGAACGCTCTCCACCACACCTCTGTAGAAAGTCCTGAGGATGCTGGCAGGGAGAGACGCTTGTTTCAGCTTCCTCAGGAAATCCAGTTTCTGCTGGGACCGTTTGATGATCGCTGCGGTGTTCTCACTCCGGCTCAAATCTTTCAAGGCGCACTGGCAGAATGTTTCTAATGAAGAAAAAAAGGGAAACTGATCTGAAGTATCTCAGCTGACCTGAATCCAATGGAACACCTGTGGAGTATTTTAGAGAGAGAGGGAGAGCAGCTACTCCAGCAAAGGCCAAGACCATATCTCCAGAAATGTGTACACTGGTATCTTGGTCACCTAGATGTTTGAAATCTAAAAGAAAAATACAAGGCTTGACTTGACTTTTGTTGCACTGAGTTCCTACTGAGGGATCTGTGATTGTAATACAGTAAATCTAAACTTAGAAGTAAAGCAGTCAGTGTAACATGATGCCATTTTTCCGTATACAGTTTGGTTACTAACATGACAGAGATGCTGTTTTCCAGATGGCAGACGTTCATCGGAGCCGTCCTGCTTCTGCTATCTGGGAAACTGGGATGGGTGGAAATGAGCCGCATCACCAGGTACTTCCCTTAAAACCGCTTGCTGCAGGATTAAATGTTGAACTCCCACGTTAAGAGCTTTCTCTGATGTGTCACAGATCTGCAGCTCTGTCCTGGCTTCCAGGCTCATGCCTCTTCGTGGGGAACATATACGCTGGTTCCAGGGCCTTGTCAAGCATCGTGAGTGACGTAGTAACACATCGAGCTGCACAATCTGTGATCCAGCTCATATCTTACACTGGCTTCGTGTCGTGTTTTGTCTCCGTGCAGGACATTCCTTTTTTCTTCACTCTTCAGAATTCCTCTCATGTCGTGAGTTACGTAATCTTCAGGGCCGTCCACAGAGAAGTAAGTGCACTCGCCGGCTGCCTGCTGCATGTGAATACGTTCCATTATGTGCACGGCGCTCGTGCCCTCCGTGCTCTCGTCTTTTTCATCGGAAGTAAAGGCTGCAGACCCGCCGCCGCTTCGTGACCTTGAGCAGCCTCGTATCTCATGAGTGTCTCACACCAGCTTTTACCGCTCTGTAAAATGTGCTTTCATCCGTCTGTTCTCCTGCAGAAGACACGGTGGCCGAAGTTAATCAGGTATGTGCTGTTTTTCTTCCATGGAGAGTCCACAGAGCGGTGACAGGAGATAAGGTGGATTATTACACACATTTCACTTCACCTGATGAAGGGAGCATGTCAAACACAAATATGTGATGTTCTCTCTTTCTCCTGCAGCATTTGCGTCATGCTGCTCTCAGCCGTCAACCTTCCTCTGTACGACCCTCAGGTAACAATCTCTGGTCATCATTACTAGATGGTGAGTTTCATTCAGTCAGTGCAACACATCCAGTCACTGTACATGTCTCTCTACTCGGCAGTTTGACTCCAGCGGCTACCTTTGGGCTGTCTGCCACCTGTTCTGCGTTGGTGAGTTTAATATACAGATGTGGAACTCTGTCGAGGCTTCAGGGACGCCACGGACAGCTAAAAGAAAGTTGTTCTTAAGCTGGAAGTCATCAAAATATGCATTGTAATGAAAAAAACTACAAAATGGTACCTTACTGTCAGTGTGATTCATTTTCAGGTGCATACAGAGTGTTTCAAGTTCACTACAGGTCCAGTAACTTGAGGTAAAGCACCTTTAATAGCAGCAGCTGTTCCTGATCTGAAATAACGTGCAGTACGTCCACTTAAAGTTTTTATTCTGCCCATCAGAGACTGAACATGTTTCTGTGTTTTTATCGTAGTGATCTTGAGCAGCAGTGCATCAACTACTTGTTCAGGTAAGAGTTCGTAAACGGTTGGATCGGAGGCTGAATCGGCGACTACTCTGACACCTTATTGTGAAATTTACTTTGCATATAAAGAAATGCAGGATGTTTAAACGTTCAAAGAAAGTTTTACTGTGAGCTAAATGATCTAAGTTAGACAGGGACATCTGTGTAACCTAAAATATTTTAGGGTCTTAACTTTAATATTTTTATTTAATATTTAAATTTGGCAACTGATTATCTATTATATTTAATTTAACTAATATATAAATTAGTTAGATGCATTTAAATAATACATAATATTGTAACCTTAATATTTAAACTAGTCAGACAATTCTCTATTGTGTGTCATATTGTAGGATTTTAGCCTTAATTAGTAGTAGTTTGTATTATTTATAATATTATAAGGTCTTAATATAAATATTTAAATTAGATAATTTGTCAGGTCTTAACGTTAATATTTAAATTAGTCAGAATCACTGTGTTGTTTATAATATTGTAGGGATGTAAACGTGATATTTAAATCAATCAGAGAAATTTATTTTGAACATAATACTGTAGGATCTTAACTTTAATATTTAAATGAGGCAGAAACATTTGTGTTGTGTATAATATTATAGGTTGTTCTTAGCCTTAATATTTAAATAAGATAAATGTAATTAATACATAATATTGTAGGTTCTTATCCTTAATATTTAAATTAGTCGTTTAAACTTGTACCATAAACAATATTGTAGATCCTAATCTTAATTTTTAAACTTGTCAGGTGGATGTCATCTTATTTTTCTTTTGCTAACGCTCTGTGTCGGCATTTTTTATGTAATCAATGGTGACTAATTGAAAGACAGTTTTATAAAAACAAGTCAGAGTTAGCCAAAGCGCAGCACAAACTTCATCTAGAATCAGAAATGCTGGACCGCTCGCTGACAGTTGAACTGAGTTAGAACCGGACCAGCAGTTCTGTGTTCTGCCGGCTTCCATCAACAAACAATTAGAATTATTTAATGTTAACATGATAAGTTGAGCACATTCCAGCTGTTTATTCTATTTTATTTTAGTACATTAGTGCAGTTCCAGGTATCATCAGTGACTAACTGCAGCTTGTCCTGCCTTTAATCACAGCGTGCTGCTGCTGGCCATCGCTGCTCACCCGACAGGTACCACCAGCCCTACGCACACGCTCCACACGTCTACGTTTAGCTTCCCAGATGTTTTACTCGGTCGTCTGTACTCATTCTTTTGTACATCTTCGTTCCAGGTGACCTCACAGGTGCCTTGGACTTTCCCTCCCTGCAGTCGCGCACGTTTCACGGCGGATGCTGCGCCAGGTGAGACCGTCAGTCGGCTTAGTTAACGCAAGAAACATCAAACTAAACATATTTAGTAGAAGTTGTAGTTTGAAGCAGATTGTCAGTATGACCATATAGCTGGTTATATACTGACTAGATTAGTGTTAGAAAGTCTGTTAAAAGTTTACAAGTCGTCATGTTACCTGCTGTCCTGTAAGCGGTTTAGTTTTGATCCAAGTTCTTTTTCCATGTGAGGTGTTTTAATTTAGCTCTTCAGCAGCTCTCAACCTGTGCGTCTCCCTTCACAGCGCTCTGCTGGGGTTTCTGTTGCTGTTGGCCACAGTCAAGCTAAAGAGCGGGCTGTCCCTGGAGCACGTTGGGGTTTGGATCTTTTTGTCTAAGGTTATTTATTTGCATTTTTTTGTTATCATATTTTACAGAAACTTGTGTTCAACAGTGATTTTCTAAAACCTGATTTGCTCCCAGGTCACGGCCATGTCCCTCTCCCCGTTTATCTTCCACACGGACATCAACACTCCTTCGCTTTTTTGGTGAGCACCTCCATCGCCTTTCTTTTAAAGTTTATCGTTGAGATGTTTTTCACTCTTCAACAATCATCTCTTTATGTTAACACGACAGACAGACTCGTCATGTTAGGACAAGAAATGCTTCCTGTTAAAACAATAAACTAATTATCTTGTTATAACGTGAAACAATCGGGTTATAACGTGATAACTAATGATGCAGCACAAAACATTATTGCAGGTGAACTTACCTTGTTGTTGAGTGGATGATGGACTCTAAACTGCATGTAGCTGTAAAGAAGGAAGAGGCAGCATCATTTGTGATCAATCAGCTAGACCGGTGGTTCTCAAACTGTTTGAGCCCCCAAGATAACTTGAGTTTGTGTTTGTGACCCCCCAATTTGAATTTTTAATATCTCATGAGTAATAACTTTGTTGTTCATGCGTTAACAAATTAATTTTTAATTCCACAGATTGATCTCTTTACATGAGCACGTTAGTTTTCTTTTGAATGAATTGAATTATTTTGAACAAATGAAAGGGAAAAAAATCTTAAAACAATTTAAAAAGAGCTTTAAAAAAGAATAATAATGTCGCATAATCAAAACATAATATTAACAAGTTCAAAAAAGGAGTGGGAAGACGTAAACACTTTTAATTTTGACAGCCCTGATGCTAGTTTATCTGATAAATGGAGGCTTTGTTTTATGTTTTTTTACAATGATCTGGTGACCTCACGGGGGTCCCGACCCCCAGTTTGAGAACCACTGGGCTTCATCAGTGTTCTCTACTATTACAAAACAATCACATTCTAACAAGATAACGAGCATATTGTTAGTTTGTTGGTATAAATTTTAGGTCTGTCTGTCGTAATAATGTGAAAAACGTCTTGATATGAGAATAAACTGGAGTTCCTGGAGGAGCTTTTGTCCCGTCACAGGTTTCTTTTTTAATTAAATTCTTTTCAATGGCAGTTAATTTTAATTACACTTAAATGAATTCTTGCGCTTTTCCTCCTAATAGTTTAGGAAACCTGTGGATTTGTTCTTTGGATGGATGGATGGTCATTAGAGTGACTAACTTGTGCTTGTCGGTTGCAGCGTGGTGCTGAGCCACGCCGGAGAGGCGCTGCTGGTTTACGCCGAGAGAGATTCTCAAACACGATGACTGAACTTCAGGACGAGTCCACCACTTGCACTCCATAAAGAGCCTAAAGAGATTATTTGTGTAGAACATGTGTTTTATTTTATACCTGCTGCAATATTTTTCTAGTTTCTCGTCTGCGCTCCGATGATCTGCCGACCAAATAAAACCATCTTTGTGTACAAGCTGTGTTTTCATCTCGTCTCGTCTTCACACAGAAGGATTTGTGGTCATTTTTCTTGCAGATGTTGACTCAGTTTAGCTAAAATTCATTGACAGTTATTCAGAAATGGCAGCACTCCACAGGAATGTGGTTAATCTTTTATTTATCTAAATATTCTGTCGACAAAAACACAAACCAGTCACACAGTATATACATACAGACGTTACGCTGAAACCATCGATTAAAACTCAGTAAGAAGCCTGTTCTTCACACAGTTCCTTCACAGAGAAGTCCTTAGTCGTCCTGCTGGCTTTGCTTCGGAGTGAATAAAGCCGTCAGCGGTTGTCGTCTCCGTAAACGTGCCTGAGGATTCCTCTCCTCCTTGATGTAGCCTGTTGCAGAGGACGATTACATCTTAGTGTCTGAGATCACCCGCCGTGCATTTAAAGCTCTTCTGGAATGACGTAACGCTGCACACATTCATCAAACAGGATAATCTGTTACGCTACCTCTATCGATGCACGTCTGTGTCGATGGGAATCCAACCTCCCAGAAGTTCTCAGGAGTACAAGGAGGAACGTAAAGGAAGCGGTGCCTCGAGCAAGCGGCGAGCTTCTTCTGTTTGTCCTCCTCTGGCAGATGTGCGTAGTACTGCAGGAGATCACAACAGTTTCAACAGGATCAGAGTTTAAAACACATCCGCTGTATGCAGCTTTATGCTCGGCACACTTACAACTTCACATTCCTTGCAGGTGGTGCCCTTCAGCTTCCTCCTCTCGTCCTTCTTGCGGACCACTGCCACGTGTGCAAACGTCGGCTGTCTAATCCAGAGAGAGGAGATTCAGGCTGTGAGGAACTGAATGTAAAACACTGCAGCCGTCCTCTGACCTTTAACTTTGAAACAGAGACTAAAGGACACAGAAAGCAGCGTCGTCTGATCATTTCTCACCCTGCTTTACTCGGACGTGCGCCGTTTTCAGGAGGGTCTTGTTCTAATTTGGGAGATAAGATGAGCACAGGTGGAGTTTAAGAGCAGACATCAAACACAATCACGGCATCTTTTAATCTCAAATCTTACCATCGCCCTCCTCCTCTTCTTCCTCCTCCTCCTCCTCCTCCTCTTCATTATCATCATCATGATGACCAGGATGGCTCTGGCTGTTAAAAGATTTGTACTCTCCGTAAGCTGTGGTGTCAAACATCACATCCAAACTGTCATTTGCCTTCTGGCCCAGTCCTGGAAAACAAAGACATTATTATTATAACCCAGCAACATGTGAATTATTTTACATTGAGTGCTATAATCAGCTAGAGATTGGGCCGATCAGAACATTTTAAAATGCTTTTATTTTTAAATATTCACCAGGCGCACCGTCCCGTCTGTCCTCGTCGTTTTCTCCCCGACCTTGAAGTAAGCTGTGGCTGACCCAGGTGCAGTCGGTATCGGCCAGTTCTCCGTGACGCTGCTGCTCTTCTTCCATTTCCTAGAATACAGACATGAACTCAGCGTCCAGTGATATAACAGTCAGATAAACACAACATTTCATCGTATCTCGCATATCTTTTTTTATTTCTCACGCCGTAGTCACATCATGACTCGTACTAAAAACTACACGAGCAGTCACAAGGAGACACTTTTCAACTGACAGGTTTTTGCTTTTTACAACAATAAGCAGCCTGAAAAACATGTTTAATGAAAGTCTTCAACATGAGCTCCACCAAAATCATATTTAAAGACCTCCTATGATGCTTTATGTTGCGTTTTTGCCCAAAGTCGATGCAGAAGATGGTTAATATTTCGGTGCCAGGAGAAAACACGGCCTCTTACTTGCCTGAAACGCCACATTTCAAGCTGTTCTTTGCTGCGTATTTATTGCCATCATCATAGACAGTTTGCTGCACCCTCAAAGAAACAATGAGCAGCTTCCTCACAGTCTGCAACTAGAGCTGCTTCTGCTGGAGTTAAGAGTCTGTGACTGTACTGATAGATCAGGGGTTACAGGATTTAACCAACATCACCTCGCTTTTGTTGACCAATCAGAGCACTGAGCTTTTCGAGGAGCTAAATCTGAGCGATTCAGACAAAGGCTGAGAAGAAATGCTGCAGTATAAGAAAAATAATAGCTGTTTTTATATTAAAGCACAAAACCCTGACAATTAAATTATAAACCTGTAAATGTGCATAATGTCGGTTCTTTTATAAAGGGGCTATTAAAAACACCATCAGTTCAGTATGACGGAGCTTGACGGCTAAAACAAAGCACCTGAATCCAGCGAGTGAATGCAGGTCATGTGACCGTACCTCCTCTCCTCTCCATTCGCTGTCGTACATGGACAGAGCGAGCGCAGGGTCAAGGCTCCACATGTTCTCCCCCGCCTGCTTCTTTTCAGCTGGGAAAGCAGAATTGGCAACTGATAATTAGAAAGAAATATTTAACGCTTTACAGCATCCAGCCTACAATCAGAAATAAAGACAGCAGAGAGCTCACCGGCTTTGGCTTCAGGTCGGCCGTGTGAAGCGTTCAGATCCTTCAGAGGGCTTCGTCTCTGCCCGGCACCATCTGCGTCCCCCTTAACCGTCCTGTTTGGCTTCTTGAAAGCAGGACTTATAAAAGAGACATCTGGGTTTTGAGGGGAAGTCCTAGCTTGTGCTGACTGAACCTGTAAAATGTTAAAGACAACACACAACATTTTAAAATTATTCTGTGCTATATATATTCTTGTCTTTATTTTATAACAGGTGAAATGTTCCCTCTATAGGTAACCAGTACGCTAGATTTAAGCAGAAAATAGCACTGCTTCTCCCAACACATACACATTTATTTAAGCCTTCTGGACTCATCTCTTACCTTGCTGTCCTTGAAGAAGCTCTGCTTGCTTCCAGATGTCTGATCGATCAGTTCAGGCTGCAGGTGTTTGTCCGTCCCTTCCTGGGTTCCCTGTTTGTTGCCTTCCCGCGCCTCTTGGTCGCTTCCCTCCTTTTTTCTTTTTGCCTTGCAAATGGAGTCGCCTTCCGAAAACCGCTTCACACTCGGGAGAAGAGACGGGGACCTCTCTGTGGTCGAGTCTGGACCGTGGATCCGTGAGGACGAAGGGGAGGAGCAGCGAGACCTTTAAGCAGGGAAACACATGTGGTGTTGGAAGGTTTATGTGAAGAACTAAAGTCAATAGAATTAATCAGGGAGTCGCTAAATGAGAGTACAGGAAGTAAACCCATTTTAAAAAATATCCTAAAGGCGTACAGACAAGGACATATTAAGGAAGGTCGGTGCAGGTTATCAGTATGCATTACTTTCTGCCACACTGTCTTCATGCATATACCAAAGCATACATTTCTCAAATTATGAAATAGTGGGGCTTTAGGAATCAACAAGTATTTAGCATTAGTTAAAGAGTGCAATATGCAAGATTTTGAGCATAAACATGCCATTAAAATAGCAGCAAATAACTACATGCTATGTAGAGATAAAGATGGAGTAGAATAAAAGCATTTATCAGGAAAATGCCGTCATGTCTGTGTTGTGATCTAAGCTTCTCTGTTCGAATTTGTAGTCACCAAGCATGTGACTGCATGTGAGTGACCTCCTGCACTGCACTGGAAAACCGAAAGTACAGTTGAGTGTTTTCAACTGGTGCCCCAAAAGAATTTAAAGCTCCTCTCAGTTTATTTATTAAAGTTTATGGGTTTGTTTGGTGCTTTGGTCACATCCAATGCTTCTAAATTTCATGTACAGAACCTTTAAAGCCACAACACATAGGATTTGCACATTTACAACAGATAAATGTGTTTTTTAGCTGAACTTACTTTAAACGAACATCGTGCTTCCAGGGAGTTTTGCTCTGCTGTCGTGCAGCGGTCTCCATTTTCTGAAGAGTGAAATTATGTAAAAAAAAGAGGAAGAGTGAATGAGAGTCTGAGATAAGATTGAATTCTTCAGCACACTCACATCGCCTTCTACTCACCATGTGACGCTTTTCAAGAAGTTCCAAAGCACAGGTTTCTGCAACCATCTCTTCTGCATCATCAGTCGCATCGTCTAAAACAGGACAGGAACAGATTCAGCCAAAAATCACATCACAGCTGCAGAGGCAACTAACAATGATAACTGTCAGTCCCATCAGTCTATGACGCTTCAATAACAGAACAATATGCCAGTAGTTTCACCGGGTGAATCATGTTTAATAAGCAGTTTGTAGTTTCATTTTCCAAACACCTCTTTCTGCTCTGATGGGTGTGTTTGTGTAGATAAATGTTGCTTGTTTCCCTTTTATGTTTTCCAGTTACGTAGATGCTACTGAAAAGAAATAAATATGGGAAAAAGCTGTTTTCAATTCCTGTTCGCTTAGAAACTAGAGGTTCAGTCCTTCCTGTTTTTACATTTCATGATATTTTCAGACCACAGTGGGTGAAGTCATACGTGAGATCTGGGATGCGTCCAGTTCACACGTGTTGGGTACGAGCACTTCTCCTCGTCCGGGGTTCCTCGTGGGCTCTTTATTCATCTCTTTAAAAACAACAGCACAGACAGATCAGAACACTTTTGTTTCTTCAGACAGATGATGGAGACGGCGGCTGCTCTGTCGAGGACTGACCGGCGAAGAGTGAGTTGTTACACTTGGGTAGAGGCATCTCTGCGTAGCGGACATGCTTCATGGTGTTTTTACGTTTCTTCAGTCTGTTTGCCACAGGCAGCGAGCTCGACATGATGGGCGAGTCTGGGATGATGCCCTCTTCCTGTTCCTGCGGTGAGGCCTCGTGGGGCTCAGAACTGGTGTAAAAAAAAAAAAAAAGCATCTGCAATGTTTAACTGATACTTTACTGATGGACCTTATTCCTGTGCTGAACACCACAGCTCACTAAGGCTGAGGCCACAGCCCTGTCCTCCTATAGAGTATATAGAGTACATCCTCGTAGGGTTTTAAGTTTGTAGGGTTTAAATAATTCAAACCAAAGGGAAATCTCTGTGGTGTGTGTTCTACAGTAACTGGAGCAGCTTTTACAGAACAAAAGCTGGTTGTAAAAGATGTGAGCGTTCCCAGTATTTCATTGATCTGAGAAACAGAAAGCACAGTGACGAAGCATTAGGAGCTTACCGAGACATCTGTAACTTCTGCAGCTCAGCGTGTAGTTTTCTGTTTTCATCCTCCAGGCTGTTCTTTTCACTCTCTGGGGAATGAATGGGCAACAGCAGACTTTTACTCACACGTCACGCTTAACATTCTGCTCCTCAGAGTGCCGTAAGCCAGAGTTTGTGCTGGTTTGGGGGAATTTCCGCTACCGCCGCTCTGGATAGTACGGCAGAGTCGCTCTGACTCCATCAATAGTCTCATACAAGATAAGTGGTGAGAGTAGTGCTTTCAGGGGCGGCACACAGGCCACAATTGTTCCTCGTCTGCTACAGCCATAACCATGGAGACATGTGGAGCCTGTGGGCTCCTGTGATATGTCTGAACACAGGAGCCCAGTTATGTCATTATGAAAAGAGTGTCATTTTACACTCAGATTTTGTAACGCTCCCCATTGTTGTCACTCTCAAATGACCAGCTCAAAATAAACACTGAGAGGCATGTGATCCTCTATGTCATGTTAAACAACAAACTACATTTCTTCAATGACTTCAGTTCTCTCTTACAACTACTTTAAGCACGTGGAATACATGTAGGAAAAAAAAATAGTTTTAGGAGTTAATTTTCTTACATCAGGGAGGTCGTTGAGTTCTGGTCACAGCTGTCTGTGACGGTAAAATAATAAGACTGAAAAGACTCACTCAGTTTGGCAATAAGCTGAAGATCTTGATCTCGATGACTCTTGAGGTTTTCCTCTAAGATGGAACATCGATCACACTCCCCTGTCCGGAGCCTGGAAACAGTAAACGTAGCTGCTATGTCCTTATGTTTCAACTTAACATCTCAACACTTAAAGACGGTTAAGCTTTAGGTAAAATTAGCGTTCTGATAAAAAAAAAAAAAACTCCTTAATTGTGGCTTTTACAGCTTTGGTTTCTTATTGCTCTGATTCCTTAGAAATCCCTGCGACACACCATAGCAGTCTAGAGTGGTAGAGTTCCAAATATCTGTCTATTTCTTAGTATATAACACAACAAAAGAGCTAAACAACAAACATCTATGCCACTGACTCAGATTCAAACACAAATGAGAAATGCCAAAACGCGACAAACAGCAGATTTGTACGTGGATCCTCGGGGAGTTACCGTTCCTCCAGGAGACTGATGGCATCCTGCAGGCTTTTGTTCTGCTCTTTGAGCTGCTGGTTGCGATTGAAGAACACCTCAAGCCTCTGAGCATCTCTGTGATGATGAAAGAACTTCAGTAGAGCCGACAGACACTTAAAGATATCATTTACAAATAACTGATTAAATGTCGTTACCATCTTTACAGAAACAGTGTTGGATAATAGGATATACTCACAGACAGCGGTCCTTCTTCAGCTTGCTCACTTTTGCCTCCAATTCTATAAACAGCCCCAAATGCAATGTTGACATGTGAGAAACAATAAAAACCTTCATATTGTTGAGTATCTGATCTCTGTACTTATAAAACCAACATGAACACGATGTGAACACACTCACACAGTGAATCATACGCTCATCTCATTTCACTAATTTCAGTCTCCTCTGTCCTCAAGTTCATGACCCGGAAATCAATCTCGGCACACCAAAATAAAATATATCTATATTCCTAAAAATACATCTGGAGCAGAGACAATCGAGGATCAAGGAGGTTTGATGGAGGAGCTATGGATGAGGATGTATGGGTGTATCCAACCTGTATGATCAAATAAATCATTTTTTTTCTAAAGAAGTGACACATAGCTGTAATACACAAACCAAGTCAGGAGCAGAACTGACAGGTGTGTGTGATTAAATTATGCATCATTTAGTCATAACATTATCATGACCTTCTGACAGAGAGCATAAAAGAAGTTACAACACACATCATATTTAACTGACGTCACTTTCAAATAACAGCCCTGAAGCAAGAACGTCTAATTTAGCTCCAAATCTTTTTCACTTGACTCCTCTCCTCTCCACTTGTCTCTTCCTTTGCGTGCATCGCCAATGGGAGGGTCGTAGAGGCACGGTGAGAAATCGAGGATGTACAAAATCAGAAGGGAATTATGGGTCAGTTACCTTGAAGCGCATTTTGGTGGCACTCTCTCAGCTGCTTCCATAAGTTTTCGAAGAGATCAGGTGGTAGGGGCGTCCCACTACTCTGTCCGGGGCTGCTCATCCTCCATTCACGTTCAAAACTCTCCACAAGCTCCTCTCTGCCGACAAAACTGAAACAGAAAATGTTTGGTGAAGTATCTTTCCACTTCGTACTCTGAGTCTCAAACACCATCGAGCTATTAAATTTGTTGACTAAAAACTTTAATCAACACCATGGACATGATGCTACATGTCATTACAACTTTTTGACCCATCTGTTATGGGTCAGTGTGTTAATTCAGACAGAAATCAGAAAACACGTTGCTACACTATCTCACATTTTGTTCAATCTTCAGAAATTTGTTCACAGGCTCCAAGTTCTATACAACATTTTGGCTGAAATTTGAGATTCTCATGTTTTTTCCAAACCTGAGAATATCTCTATTTTGAATTACCCTTATTTTGGGCTCAGTATCTCAAGAACTATAATTCCCACCGTCGAGAAATTTAGTGAGGACACAGAGGAAACTGTTGTCAACAAATCCAAATGGTGAAAAGGCTCTAAAAGAGGCCAAATTGTTAATTATTGACAGTTTACATTGAAAAACAATGTGCAGAAACTCACAGTGAAGGTGGTACTGGGGCCCCATACAGTTCCCGTTATTGTATATATAGCTTTATATCCATATTTAAAACTAATAATACAGTCTTTGGTCAACATTTGATCAACCTTTGAGATCTTTAACATTATGTGTATTGAACCATTAAATGGCTTTCCAGGTGATTTGTGGGTGAAAACACAAACCTTTCCAGGCCTGAAAACATATAGAATCTATACAATTCAGTCAAAGATATATTACACAGACATTTACACTATAAATCCTTCTTGTGATGCTTTGTTATGCTAACCTAAATTTGCCAGCATGTACATTAAATGTTAAATGACTGCCTAGTTTACCACGAACAGCTGATATAAGCTTCCTAAACACGCTAGCACAACACAATTCATTCAATCAATCATTTGTTGTTTCTCTGCTTTAAGTGGAAGCTTTAAAAGAGCTAGCTGTTAGCTTGTACTGCTGCCTCTACATATTCTCATCCACCACTTTGACAACTGTACACACACACACAAAAAAAAAATCATTATCGCTAAATACGGCTCATAACATGCGATGAGTTCACGGTAAAAGGAGCAACAAACGGATTCAGACTTACGTCAAAAGGTCCAAGTAAAAGCAGAGAGATAAATAGTAAGCTGACGTTTACATGTAATTCACTGCTCTACTGTTTTGACTTCTTATGAAAATCTAAATTCGCGGGCCGTGTTGCATCCTGGGAAGTCATCTTCTTCTTCTTTTTTTTTTTAACTTGTTCTTCTTCTACATGCAGCGGAGGCGCTCTGCTGCCACCCACAGGCCATTTGTAGAATTACACCGACACAGTACAGTCACTCAAATGTATACATACGCTTTCATGAAAGAAAAGGCAAAATTAACAACAGTAACTCAAATAACTAGAAACTGAAAAAAGTACTAATAAATAAAAATTTGTTAAATTGTAATTTAGTGAAATAAGACGTTTCTTTTGAATTGTGGTTGAAGAGAGTAATTAAAAAAATTAAAATGTCCTGGACAAATTAGAGCACTTTGCTGATGAGCAGTGTTGTTGTTCAACAAAATATTAGTTTATGGGCCCCATCATGCTTGTTTACTTGTGTGTTTCTTGTTTGTTAGTTTTTTTTTAAATATTGCTGTTAAACCACAATTCAAAAGCAATGTCATGATGTTCGTTACATTTTTATTTATTAGCAGTGACAGCTGTTTTTCTCCCTTCTTTCTCTTCGAGTCCAGCAGTGTGGATAAACCCAATTGCAGGTTTTCTTCATTCATACAGGTAGATCACATTTATAATGCACCATCTACTATTTTATAGCTTGTTTTCCAACAATAAACTGCTGCTATATATACCACAGATCCCCTCTATGTTGTGTAGTATGCCAGGTTGTGTAGTGTTAGAACTGTATGGCTAAAATATGATTTAATACTTGATTAATTGTACAAACCAGCCACTGGACATGGCAACTGAGGTTGTATTGATACGATTCTCCTTGAGCAAATATTGTAGCTTCAAATCCTTCTTTTTTTGTTTTTTAAAGTAGATTATTGTCACAAAGCCCTTGAGGCTCAATACAAGTGAAATAAGATAAGCATGATGATTTTATTCAACCATATCTGTAGCAGCAGGAAGGCACAAATCTGAAATATCCTTCTACAAATTCCAGTCGATTTTAATATTATTTCTTTCTTACGACTGGGGAAGGGGCTGTGTTTGCTCCTGTGTGTTTGTATCCAATAACGCAGAACAGAAAATAGTGGTTATTCTTATATTTGTTTTTATTTTTGGTCTTTCTTTAGAATACAAAACAGGAACCAAAATCACAAAAATAACATTTACAAAACAGATCATTTAACTGAGGTGACTGAGGCAACATAGAAAAGCATGTCTGAAACAGTGATACTGGTGGGTTAGCCTGGAACCTTGAGGTAAAACAGCGAGCAATGTCAAAAGGTCCAACATCTTCACAAACTGTTTTTTGAATTAGTGCCTTCGTTCAGTAGTGCTATTCACAAATGGAGTTTAACAACATCATGTTTTCCTATCATGTCCACAGTTAGCAGTGATTTACTGATGTAGTGCTTCAGACCTACCTAAGAACAAACTGATTATAGTGACATGTAGGTCGAGACTTCTAAGCATGTCGCACTGTATGGCACCATTTTCAATGGTTTCTATTTTAATCTATGTTCATACACGCGCACAGACACTCACACACAACACTGTTCCTCCTCATTCACTCTCTTTAAATGGGTGCAAATGATTTCCAACAACTTCCTCTGTCTGTTCCCCACCAAGAACACTTCTGGCTAAAGTTACTGAATAGTTTTAACATCAATATCACCCGAGCAGGAGCTGCTTCAGACTTTTTTCTAAAATGCTTAACAGGGCAGGAAAAGTAAGAACAGAGTGATTAAGTGCTGGAATGGCCGTCAGTCAGAGGCACGAACTCAAAAGTCCCATCTTTTTTTTCCTAAAATACAAAAATGGTAAGACATAATGCAAACACTGCATCACTGAAAGAAACCATAAAAACCTAGCGTCACTGACCTAAACACAAAGCGGTGAAAATAGTACAGTTTGGTCTGCGCTTGGTTACGCAGGTATGTTTTTGCATGAGCGAACGTTTCTTGTCTTTTCTTCTTTCACATTTAAGACATGGTCACTGGTGATTCAGCATTGCAGATTATTACTTCTTTTTTTCGTTTCTTTTTTATTATTTTTTTTTTTTTAGTTCCTTTGGATGTGTGCCTTTTGTTGAATTTGCATCTGTCACAGCAGGTAGATTGAGCTAGCATTACTTCATATATCTATATATACACATGCATTCAACATCATATGTATCCCCCAAATTAAAAAACAAAACAAAACAGAAAAAACAAACAAAAAAAGGTAACTATTCCAAACTCCCTTTTCACCACTTAAGAGTTTAAGCTATAAAAACCTGCATGACAGTCCACAAAAAGTTTTGCATGGAGGCTTTGCAGTTTGATGTGAGATATGCAGCAGGTTGTCGAGGTGCTGGCGCTGGGGGTGTGGCATGGAATGCAGCCTTATTCCATCAGGAGGGGTCATGGGGATGGGCCTTTTATTCACCCCCTCCCTGTCCGAATGGGCCTCTTTCTATGTAGTTGGGTTTTAGATTCACATTATGCTGGAAGAAGAGTAATCGGTTGCGGACGCCGCCGGGGCAGGTCTTCACCAAGAGCAAAAAACACTGGAGTAGAGTGTGAATGCATATCTACCATCTTCTAACCTGCAGGGAGAATAAAAGGCGTAAATACAACCTTAAAGCTGCGTGTATTTTTGCACGTAAGCGTCTCCGTTCGTCGTACTCACGCTTCCCTCTCTTCACCACTGCGGGGGCACGTAGCTGTAGCTGGGTGTGCCAGGAGGCCGATACGTGGGCATCGTGACCGGGTGGGGGGCAACAGGCGCTGGTGATGGAGTTGTCAACAAAGTTCCTGAGGAGCAGAGCCGTACATATAAATCATGCATTTTGTATTCAATATGAAAAAAAAAACAGACTAAAGTGATGAATCGCTCACCAGCTGACATAGCCATGGTGGTGCCAGCTACCATCCCCATGGCGACACCGTTGGGGCGGGGAGGAGGGATGGGCGGGGCGTACATGGCCGCGGGCATCCCATTGGGCTGGACCACCGTCGTGTGATGGATAACATGAGGCGGCGCAGCATACAGCGGCTGTGTGTAGTACGGGCCTTGCTGTTGTGAAGGTATTAGTGCCTGGAACAACAAGTACAGCACCGCAGTGAAGTCAAACAGGATAAAGAGAAACAAGCGAGCGTTTTAATACCACCACCGAGGGTCTAACTCACTGACCTGTGCATAGGGGTTCTGTTGGGGGTAGGTGCTCCTGACAGGGTACACAGCAGCAGGGTAGGGGTTTGGTGAGGAGGAGTACGGTGGGACAGTCCCTGTGTTGGGAGAGCAGGACATTTTGAACGGAGTGCCCGGAGCGTAGCCTGCAGAGAGAGGAAGACGCCCTGCATTAGTGCTGTTTAGTCAGGATTTATAAGTCCTTCTACTCAGTAAACAAAGACTTCAATCAGTCCAGTTAGAATATTTTTTTTACAATCTTGAACAGATGCACAACACACAGAAGTACAAGTACAGTATCCATTCTTATCTTATATTTAGTTCAAATAAAAATCTAATCATTTCTAGTTAAGTGCAATCAGATCCAAATCATCTGGGAGGTGTTCATGACTTCATTCTCACCACTGGAGAAGGCTGGGTTGGCTCCTGCATAGACGTTGGGAGTGTATGCTGGGGCAGCTGTCGCGTAGCCAACAGGGAATCCAGCTGCCGTGACCACAAACAGAAAAACAAATTCAATGCTTTCCTTGGCTTTGGACTGTTTTCTTGTATTTAGGACATAAGTTTAAACCACTATAGTAAACACATTGAGTTACCTGGGTAGCCCAGACCCTTGGTGTTGGTGAAGGGGACCCCTGTTGGTGCAGGGCTGTAGACCGGATTCATCGTGGCTGCCTTTTCACAGATGCTGCGATGAAAGAAGCAAAGAAAATATGAATTAAAGAAGGTGCTGCAAAGTAAATGATTTAATATAACTAATTAGGAATATTTGACATTTGATGCAAAGACCATCTGCGGAAATCCAACACAGACTGTTGTGCTACCAGAACTCCTCCGGTAGAGCTCCATGGGATGGATGGTTTGATAATTCTTTAAAACGTCAACCTTCTCTGCTTCCATCATCTTAAATGTTGATATTTTCCTTTTTTTTGCACTCTTCTGACAGTGAGCTGAATATATTTGGGTCGTGGACAAAACAAGACATCAAAGGACGTCATCTTGATTTCCCGGCATTATTTTTAGACCAAACAACTAATTAATTAATCAAGAAAATAATCAACAGTTTAATGAACAATGGAACAATTGTTATTGGCAGCCCTGTTAATGAGACTGCTCACTGATAAAGTGACCTTTGCATTTGGGACTGACCAAAGAATGTTGAATGTCTTTGTTTCAGGTTGCTGGAGTTGGGTCATACTGATAAATAACTGCTCCAAAAGAGGCTGTTTGCTGGCAAAAACCTTTGTGCAAAACCTTAACAGCATAACTTGGTTTGTTTGCCTTATTTTAGACAGAGGCTCCATGCTTTCCCAACTATAACTCTATTAATAGGCCTCAGTTACTGGAGCTCTCCCAAGTGGAACAGGATAGATTACATCTCCACTTATGCCCCAAAAAACCTGAGATCAAACCGTCTGTTATGGCAGCACTTAACATCGACTAGAACCGGTAAAGGCAACACAAACGTTGCAGTGGAGATATAATTGTTCTTCTCACTCTGGGCTGTCGGGGGCTCATATAAAACGACCTTGATCGGTCGCATCACTTTTGCTTCTTCACGCTCTGATCACACATTGACCCACAAACTGAAATGACAAGGGGCGTGTGATCAGATACCTGGCATATTAAACATGGTGTCACACAGCTTCATCACTGCAGCAACACTACAGTAGGCTTTTGCCTACAAATTCCATTCAATAAACACCTCAGCCTTTCAGCGTTCATTGTAATTGGATATCATTTCAGCATCAGTACTGTGTGTATTCCTAACAGCCACATCGCAGGAACTCAAATACATCAACTTCTTGTGTTAACAC